AAAAAAAAAAAAAAAAAAAAAAAAAAAAAAAAAAAAAACATGACTTATCTTATTTAAAGCCATGAACTAATTTTAATAGTTAATAACTACAAGGTAATTGTTGTCACCATTCCTTCATGCTAGCTGCTTAGCCAAACCTTTGTATAGGCATATGAATGATAGACAGAGAACAAAAAAAAAGCAGTGAGCCACACACTCACCCTTCTCTCCACCCCTTGTTGTGGGGCATGTCCACGGCGCTGGCTGTGTCGTCCGCCTGCAGTGTGCTGCTCCAGCAGGTCAGGGGGTGGAGAGGTGCTTCGGCCCTGAGGATCTACCCATGTGTACACATGATTGGTCACATAACCTCCAGGGATCCGCCCCATTGAACACACTGATAAGCAGAGCTTCTTGCATCCCTTCAGCACCTTTCGAGGAGGACGAGAAGGATGGAAGGATATGAGAGGAGAAAGAACTGAGGAGGAGGAGAGAAAGAGGTGTGTTTTCGAGAGAGCAATTATTGAGGCCTTATCATTTCACTCCACATCTGGAGTTAATGCCTCGCTGTTTATGCAGATATCATTAATCACAGCACTTAGTCTGCGTGTTAATTTAATCCATCAGTGCACACATAGGCAAAGTCAGCCAGATAAATAATTACTGCTCTTCATCACACTTTAATTTCAATAAATGTTAATGTCACATTCAGATCTGACTGACGTGTGCACGGGAGGGCGCAGGTTCAAATGACTTCCTCTGCATGATAGAGTGTAAAGGGATGGGTGAATCCATACCCACTCATGTACAGGACACCTGTAGACCAAATAAACTCTCATAACGTCGCCGTCCTGCTCTCTGAGCTCCATTCATCCCTGGAAAACATCCACAGCCATCCATCTCACATTTAATATGAAAGCTTTATAGGGACCGGGGAGTTTTTTTTATGCTAGGCTGCGTATATAGACGCTTCCTCAATGCTCAATGGATGAAGTTCATAAGAGTCTGGTGCTCTTGTTTTTACAGAGGATGGGGCCTTTATTGACTCTGAGCCTTTGAGCGAGTGAGAAGGTGAAAGCAAAAAAAAAAAAGAGAGAGAGACAGGAGCAGAATAAAAGAGTGCATTGAGTCAGAGGTACACATGTATCAATAGCACAAAGACTGTCTGGAACACTTTGGAGCCTCTTGTTAAGGCTCTGTTCTACCTGACTGACTGACACTTACTCAGTTATGAATACACAGAGAAGCACTTCCTCAGGGAGAAGAAGTAAGCAACTGTAAGATCACAGAAGCAGAGGCTTGCTTTTCTAAAGAAAATTTTACGGAAGAGAAATATTCCATAATACAACGCTGAATTACTTTTACACTCAATGCAGGCAACATACAATAATGGCTGCTGCTGCTATAATAGTAATAATAATAATAATAATAATAATAAAAATACACACCATTTGAAACACCTGTACACCTGCACATTCATGCAATCCAATCAGCCAATCATGTTGCAGCAGCGCAATGCAAAAAAAATAAATAAATCATTCAATGCACATACAGGTCAAGAGCTTAGGCTCATGTTCACATCAAACATCAGAATGATGACGACTGTAAACCCAGTGACTCTGGCATGATTGATGGTGCCAGGTATTTCAAAAGCTGCTGATCTCCTGGGGTGTTCACGCGTAACAGTCTTTAGAGTTTATACGGAATGAGAGAAAAAAACATCCAGTGAGTGGCAGTTCTGTAGGCGGAAATCCCTTGTTGATTAGAGAGGTCAGAGGAGAATGGACAGACTGTTTCGAGCTGAAAGGAAGGCTAGAGTAACTCACATAACTGCTCTTCACAACTTTGGTGAGCAGAAAAGCATCTCAGAATGCACAACACACCAAACCTCGAGGCTGATGGGCTCCAACAGCAGAAGACCACATCAGGTTGCAGTACTGTCAGCCAAGAACAGGAATCTGAGGCTACAGTGGGAGGAGGATCACAGGATCTGGACAGTTGAGGATTGGAAAATATCACCTGGTCTTTTTCTTCAACCGTCCAGTTTTAATAATGATGATAATAATAATAATAATAATAATAATAATAATAATAATAATTAGTATTATTATTATTGTTGTTGTTGTTGTTGTTGTATACACTATAAACTGTATACATTAAATTTGCAGTTTGTGGATTCTTTATTGCTGTGCTGCCTTTTAGAAGAAGAGATTACAATTAATTTAGAGAAAGCTTGACTGCACCTTTCAGACAGACTGAGATGAGTAATACAGGGGCAGGAGCACCTCTAAATAGGATCTAGAATTGCCTATAGGGTATCAACAAGAGAGAAGGCAATTTTAAAAGGCAGATGAATCAAATTGCGCTCATTACTGTCCTAGCTGCACAATTTGACTGTCGTGAAGCCTCTGGATATTCTTACTCCAGTAGTCCAATCTCAATAACTAAAGCTTTGGACAAGTCTCTCTATATAATACAGTGCTCATGTAGACCAATGTTCGGAGATATTTATATGTAAAAAAAAAAAATGAGATGAATCCAATACTTACTGAGGCACAACAATGTGTGCCTCAACGTTCAGATTACAGATGAGACGCTAAAACACTGGAAGCATGTCGCACAGACCTCATGAAGAATTAAGTGTCAAGTGGGTGAGTCAGTACTGCATCAGAGACCAGGTCGTTTTCATATATAAATACCACATTCCATAAATAAAGACCGCCTTTCTTTGGTAAATACCATCTGACAACCTGAATAGAATATCTGTCCTGACTGCCATGGACTGTGTGTGGCTCATGTTTAAAAATTAACATAGTGACATGACAGAAGGAGAATTGTTACATTTAAAAAAACAAAAAAAAGTACCAAACTCTGTTAGCCACCTACCGAGAACCACCTGTCAGATTTAGCCATTTACCCCCCAGGGCTAAGACACCAGTCATGCAGAGAATGACACAGGAAGTGGCAGAAAGATAGTGAGAGATGAGTAGAGGGAGAGATCTAAAGAGAAATATTTCAATATTTTGACAGGCCTTCAATGAATAATCCATAAGCCTATGGGCTCGTCTTGTCAGGGAAAAAGAATTGCAAAGCAGATGTCTTCATGCATGAACAAAGCAGACCTGCAACCCTGTGTGAAGCCAATAACAAGCCAAACTCGAATCAATTTGTAGTATCATCCAGGGCAAGAGTGAGAGTAGTATTGCCAAAATTCAACACTAAAATCCTGCACATGCATTATACAGAGATGGTGCTGTGTGCATTTGTCATAATTATGTATGCTTTATATCCTATTATACCACAGCATGGCTGACATCTCAAATCTTACATTGTTGATTAATTTTCTACAACAGCATGGCTCCGACTGTAGTTCCGGCTGTAACATAAATGACAGGTTTACATTAGTGCTCTAATTCTAATATGTTATTGTTCCTATAGTAACAGCTCATTGACAGTCTAATAATAGGGCTAAGGCTAATGAAGTTTATTTAATGCCAATTAAAGCATGTCACTGCACAAAATTTGAATTTAAATTTGAAGATGAATCATTTCAAATAATGAAAAAGTTTATGGAAGGCGTCTTGGGTGCCAGCACTTTGTAGCAGTTAGTAACTTTCCTGACATGAGAGAGTCTTCAGGCCAGAGGAGTTGCACTTTCTGGTTTCTCAGTCACACCACAAGCTGCACTTTTTTTGTCTTATTAACTTCAGGAGAAGCTGGTGAGCAAACGAGTGTTAAACAGCTGCTATACCATGAATGATAACAGGAACTAACTTGTCTTCCTGACACTCCTCAACATTAAATGTCACTATAAGCCATTAAAAAGTGAGATGTGTCATTCTGTAATAAATACACAAACAAAAATCCCTGTTGTGTAAGTGAAATGATCATTTCAGTGTGTATTATTTTCATAAGACAGCACAGTCCTTTGTGTGCTTTTTCTTATTTATACTACAGCACTGTTGAATTAAATCGGATTTGTCAGAAAGGGTTGATTAATTTCCTATAACAGCACAGCTCTAACAGTCGTTCCAGCAAATCACAAGTCTATATAAAACCTGTTCTGGCAATAGCATGTGGGCTATTTCTGTGGCATCATTCTGTGGATATGTGGCCCCAAAAAAAAATGCCAGCAGCGACCCACATCTGGGCCACACCACAATTGGTTTTACTCGCTTGCTCCTAGCTGCAACCTGATTCTGATTGGGCAGGTGATTAAAAAAGCTCTTGACGTCACTTAACGCTAGGGATGTTGTTGTTCTTCTTCTTCCGGGTGCTCCCGTTAGGGGTCGCCACAGCAGATCATTGTTCCACATATTTGATTTGGCACAGTTTTTATGCTGGCTGCCCTTCCTGAAGCAACCCTCCCCGATTTTATCCGGGCTTGGGACCGGCACTAGGAGCGCACTGTTTTGTGCAACCCCACTGGCTGGGGTCGGTTCCCCGGCCAGGAATCGAACCCAGGCTGCGGCAATGAGCGCACTGAGGCCTAACCACTAATCCTCCAGGAACTCTGCTATTCTGAAAAGATATATTTCTTAAAAACTTCTGGAAGTTCTCCACTTTGCCAAGAGAAAAAGCAACTGCATTTCATCCATCTTGTAACTACTTCTCGTAAGATTACGTGTAATACATGTGGCGAAGTTTTAGGTGGAAAAAACGCCTAGCATGAAAGTATCTTAAATGTTATTTTCGCTTTTCTATCAGAACACGTCTTACCATTAACAGAAGCTTCTAAGCTGAGCCGCTCAAGCGTGCACTTGCTCAGGATTGGTGTCTAGCTGAACTAGATAAAACATGAAGCGGATTTACCTGGATCCTAAACAACTACCAATGGTTCCGATCCTAAAAGAAACGTGTACTATTTATAAACTATAAACTTCGATGCCGGAAAATTTGTATTGCCAGGTAATACTGGCAATGCTGACAGTCTTATCATATTCATATAAACATGGATGAATATGGATACACAAACAGTGGGATCTGTTCTGAGCCCCCAGGACTGACAATGCAACGTACAAGACAACACAAAGCCTCTACACCCAAGTACATGCAGTGCAAATATCACGAGTGTAAGACAAGAGAGTTCTACCTCGGTAGACAATCTTTAGCGGCGCCTTACTTGTCACAGAGCAAACCCACAAGCCATTAACACCTGCTATACTGCATAGAGTTCACTACGTCAAACAGCAAGTCAACTTATTGTCAGTCTCAGGAAGAGACAGCATGTCCAGACAAAAAATGCAGAGACAGCTCAGAGGATTCATTCTGTAGACATGGCTGTTATGTGCCTGTAGGCTTATACAGTACGTTAGACTATGTACTTTCTAACTGTTTTGCCGAGATGAACGTTATTGGAAAGAAAGCTGCTCGGGCCAATACAGCAGTGATGAAAGTCAGAAATGACTTACTCATGTAGGAAATATAACCAAGGCCAGCGGCCTGATAATACTGCCTTGTTAAAGTCTCAGCTTTTTACTCAGTTATTCATCTTATAGCATTTTGTTCAATATCTACTATGAACTATTCACTAACAGTGAAGGTAATGGGAAAGGAAAGTCTGGATTCGCAGATTGGTTCTGGAAGTTTAAGGAGTTACGGTTCTGCTGAACCGGCATCAGTGAAAATCACCCTGATAAATGGCATATGTATGTAATGTCTCTTTAAATTGTATATTGTTAAAATTCAGTGGAAATAGTGAAGAGGATCCAAATACAGAATCCAAGAATGTGTTATTTTGAAACATAATGTAGGGTAATGCAGGGTGAAAAAGAACCCTTCACCGGTCCATTTGAATACAGCACATTTGCAAATGCCTAGGAATCACCAGGATTCACAGGGCTTGATTTGAGTGCCAGTACAAGCAGATTTTGCAGGTTAATGCCATCATTGCTGTTGTTCTGGTTGGGTGCAAGCTAATTTTTTCATATTTGAACTCTGTTGCTCTTTGTGATCATAAATTATCCTTTTTTAATCCAAAGAAGGCATGCTTTGCCCCCTACAGAGACCACCGCACAGCAAAAATGTGCATGCCTTACCCCCTTCAGAGACCCCCTCTCAGCACAGACACTGGAATAAAATCCTATTCCCTTGACTTCAGGTGCAAACTTTAAGGTCCCAAGGGCACAGTTCTTACAGCTGTTTTTGTGAATCACAACTAAATACAACATATGTGTATATAATACTGGTGCCAGAAGGGCTGGGTTGAGTATTTCAGAAACTGCTGATCTCCTGGGATTTTCACACAAAACAGTCTCTAGAGTTTATAAGAGAGTTTATAGAATGGTACGAAAAACAAAAAAACATCCAGTAAGAGAGAGTTCTGCAAGCAGAAGTGCCTTGTTGATCAGAGAGATCAGAGAACAATGGCCAGACTGGTTCAACAGTCAAAGAACGTTGTCTGGTCTGATGAATCTCAATTTCTGCTGAAGCACACAGATGATAGGGTCAGAATTTGGAGTCAAGAGCATTAATCCATGAACCCAACTTGCCTTGTGTCAACAGTTCAGGCTGGTGGAGGTGGTGTAATGGTGTGGGGAATGTTTTCTCTGCCATACATTGGGTCTCCTAATACCAATGGAGCATTGTTTGAATGCCACAGCCTCTCTGAGTATCACTGCTGTCCATGTACATCATTTTATGGCTACAATTTACCCAGCTTATAATGGCTACTTCCATGTGCCATGTTACAAAGTCATCTCAAAGTGGTTCCATGAACATGACAGTGAGTTCGGTGTACTTCAATGTCCTCCCCAGTAACCAGATCCGAATCCAACAGATAGAACATAGTGATGTGACAGAACAGGAGATTAGTGGTATGAATGTGCAGCTGACAAATCTGCAGCAATTATGTAATGCAGTCCTGTCAACATGGACCAGAATCTCAAAGGAATGTTTGGAATCCATGCCATCAATTCTTTGCTTTTCGAAAGGAAAAACAACCCAGTTGTGCCTACTAAAGGCCACAGTTTAAACGTTTATGGAACGTCTTTTATTCACACATAAGCTTCTATTTTACCAGGATGTGAGATGCTATGAATCACATGGCATGAATTTTTTTTTTTATAGTGTTTATAGCAGGAAACCATGCCAAGCGGACTACAGCACAGCTGGTGACCTCTGTGTCATTATATCTACATTCATCATTTACCCTCTGAACAGTTTAATGCCCTTCCATCTCTATATTAGCCTGACATTTGTATATTAACTCCCTTGTGTATTTTTGCAGATTTTGGACTGTTGGCATTCAAAATAAAATGTATGCACTTGTAAACAAGTTTGTGTTTAGTTGAACACTAAAATGTCTATCTTAAAATATAGTGACAGCGAAAACAGAAAATAGATTTGTGGCAAATTTTGTGGGTCTGCTGTTTATTTCGATCACAAAAGAAATGATATAAAAATCCGTACGGGAACTCCCATTATATGACATTAAAAAAAATGTCACTGTGTGTGCTCAGTTCATCTCAGCAGCATACCTAAGCACACCTTTTACAATGTATTATTTAAAAACCTACCGCTTTTTACATTTGCATGGCTCTGCTCTACATTACCACCTGCACCACTGGTCATGAAGATACCAAAAATATACAAAATATTTTGGTTTATTTATGTGTATTAGCTTTGTATCAGTAAGATTTTTTTTTATAGCTGATATGTCTGCTAGTACTAATGGGTGTTTTAGTGGTCTGTCTGTTGAGTTGGCATGGCACAAGAAACCAGTTTGAGTAAAGCAGGATACTGTTCGGTGAATGCAACGCAGCAAACACATAAATCTGTGCAAGTAATAAAAAAACCCACATAAAACTGAACTATGTTGTGTTTCTTTGCGTACTGAAGAAGTCCGTAAGCCATAAACATATATAACCACCACATGCTCATGCTGCAACAATCATACTCATACCAAAGCGGAATTGGATTTTTTATTAACCCCTCCCGATTTTTATTATGTTCATTACCTCAAAATGTGGTAATCTCATTTCTGCTGCATCATTGCATCAATCTGGAGCCAAATGCAAAGCGAGTGAAGATCGGACTGACACCTTGATGCGCTTGAACATGCTCGAAGCAGCTCTGTGCCAGAAAATAATTTTACGGGTTTTTATTTTACTTGTTTCAGCAAAATCATAATTGAACACGAGCTTCACTGAGCTGCATCCTCTGCATATAATGCATTTTATATCGGAATCGACTGAAGCCTGAGAGAAGCTATAAGATTTCAGTGATGGACCAAATGCAGCAGGAATATGGTAATTTATAAAAACCTTCTGAGACAATATGACAAGCCGGTTTTAAAAACTATCCATTTGGCATTCCTGAAACAAGAAAGCTGCTCCTGTACTCTTGCCCCTGAGCACAAGAGTAAATGCTTCCGGAACAATCCGTACTAACCTTATGTGCACTACACCCCCTGTAGACTACAGACCCAGAAACACGGTTTAACATGCAGGAGGAGAGAAAAAGTAGGTCTGTTCTATTACTACTCAAGATCTATACACCTGTCCAATGTCCTCAACATATTTTAGATTATGTTTGACTACGTTTCATGAATAATATGATATAATTGCCATGCAAACAGACATCTTCGCTTGGTGTTTCATTGACATGGCAGCAGGGAGAACTGACATGGTACACAACAAAGCCTGTGATTGGTCGTTGAAAACAAGGCGTTCCCAAACAATTTCCTTCAAACACAAATGCCTTTGAGGAGTGTCTGTCAGAGTTGTCGGTAAGAGGATACTCTATAACTCATAATCAAGAGATTATAAAGACAAACAAACGGTTTTAACTTTAATGGTCTCATCCTGTAGTCATGGAACGTGTCATGAAACTTTAATAGTGCCACCTGCAGTACTGGAGCACTTGTACACGACAGCCAGTACAAAACCGCATAGAGTATGCGAGCTTGTTCGCACGTCTTCACACAGCCCTTGCAGACGTCATCTCTGCATCGCTTATACTGAGGTCTTTATATGGAATATTTTAAAAACAAGACAGTACGACAAAATAACAACAGATTCCAGCCTGCTATGTGTGTGAATGGTTGTAAATATGTTACATAACTGCCGCTTCAGCTGCGGCGTGAACATTCAGGCTGTCAGGAGCGGAAGATGAAAGAGTAGCCGTTCCAAAAGAAATCATGCTCCTGCATTTGGTTCTGTCCTTCATTGCATCCTGTCTCTTAATCCAGCCTTGTTTTCTCAAGTGCCTGCTAGTTTGCATTTCATTCTTTCTCCGTGGAGAGAATGTGTGGCACTGCATGCTGAGGTTAGGGCTGTGAAATGCTGTGGCCTTTCTAAAATGAAAGCACTCCAGATCAGAATGCATGCCTTCAGGGACAGAGCAGGAAGAGATGGCAAGCTTGAGTGTAGTATATGATTCAGAGCTATGAAAAGAAATTACAAATAAAGCTTTGAACCTCCAGAGCTTTAGAATGAATCATGTGGGTTATAAATTGGTATTCAGATACGTATTGCTTTATATTAATCCCATATCTGACAACTTAAATGTC